CATTGAAGATGCCATCCGTAGACCGTAGACCTTTCGGGCATGAACCCGAACTGTTCCTGGAGATCGGACCAGCTCCCGCAGTTTCGAGTCGACCAGTCGCTCGTACAGCTTCATTGTATGAGCAGTCAACTTGATCCCGCGGTAGTTGGAGCAGTCCATCGCGTCACCCTTCTGCTTGAAGATGGGGACGATAGTGCTTGTTCTCCGTTTTCCAGGCATCCGGCATCCTTCCTTCGGTGGTTACCGTGATCAAGAAAATTATATTTATCGGGGGTACACCATTTTGATCCTGTACTCTCCGAGCGTCTTCCATGCCTCGATTGGCACCCCATCTGGACATACCGCCTTTCCAACCTTCATCTTCCCCAATTCTTGACGAACCTCATCCTCTGTTTAGTGAGGTAGGGCCAGCCGTCGCCTTCGCGCCCTCGCTTGCGAGCTGTCTTTGTGGGGGGATACTCCTCGTTCAGGAGCGCTTTGTAGTACTCCTCCCACCTCCTCCTGACTTCAGTTGGCTTCCTCAAGATGGCACCGCTACTGCTCTTTACGCACTCTTCACCACTCTAATGGCCTGATGCCGGGCTTCGGCCAGTCTGAAATCGAACTTTTCTGCGTTTTGGCTCTCCAACTTCTCGTACAAGGCGTCCATTTCCGTGTTCTTCGCCTTGGCTACGGCTGCCTTAGCGAGCCTCTTGCAACTCTTGTAGGCAGCGAGGTCCTCTGGGCTCCGGGTCTTCTGCCAGCGCTTGTATGCCTCCTTCTTCTGCTTCACGACTCGCTGGACCTCCTCGTTCCAGAACCACGCTGCCTTGTCTCCTCTGAATCCACCTCGCGTCTCTCCCAGTACCTCCTTGGCGCATCGTAGGATGATCTCAGCTGCATTGCGCCAAGTCTGCTGCACTGGTCCCTCAGGATCTGGGAGACCAACTTCCACCATTATCCTTCCGTTGAGGTCGCTCTTCTCTGCTCGTTGCAACTTCCACCACCGATTCTCCTCTCGGTCCTTACCCTTGGTCTGTCTTCTTGGGAAGGTCTATGGCTATGTCTGCCAGGAGGGGCCTGTGCTGAGGAGCCAGGTCTTCGCCAGGAATTACCTTGATATCCTTCACAGTTTTGAGGGATGATCTTCTTCACCAGTACATGGTCGATTTCCGTCTGTCTCCCTTCCACTGCTGGGCGGAAGTGGTGTGCTGACAAGTGCGCGCGCGAACTTACCCCGCGAGCGCGTCCAGGTCGGAGAGTGGAGAAGTCCTGGGATCGTAAGTGGAGGGAGTCCCGGGGCAATCATTGCCTTCATCCCTCCGGGGGTCCGGTCAATTAAAGGCCGATACCAGGACTTGTCTGGGAGGATAAAAACATCTGTACAATTGAAACATCGGCTGGCCCCCCGCCATACACGCGCTTTGGTGAGTAGTGGACAGTCGCGGTTCAGGGGAATGCACTGCGAATGTGACGAGAGATGAGATGTGCGTGGGCCGCATCCCCAACAAAGGAGAATATTGATCAAAGCAATGCTTCGTATCCCTTCTATTTGTAGAGTCCTCCCTCCACTTCTGTAGGTTGCCTTTTGAGCCTCCCTTCTCACGAAGAACGTGCTGCAGATTGCCATATCGTGGTAGCCACTCCTATTCCTCTACCTCCATGCACCCTTTCAAGACCTCTTCTGTCGCTGCCGACGTGCCCATTCAGATCACCTGCTATGGTCAAGTAATCGCCTTCCGGGATCGATCTGATGGCATCGTCAAGCCTCAGATAGAACTCGTCCTTCTCACTCTCGGGGCATCCGGTCTGCGGAGCGTACACTGACAGTATTGACCAGTACCCCTCCTTCGTGTCTATCCTTACAGCCATGATCCGATCGCTGATCCTGTTCACAGCGGAGACATAGTCCTTGAGCGACTCCGCTACCGCTATGGCCACACCATTCCATTGCACTCGGTGTCTTCCCCATTGTAGCAGAGTTTGACACCTTCTCCAAACATTCCTGGACCTCTTGCGCCGCTTCCAATCGCGTTTCTGAAGGCATTTAGGGACTTGTACTTTAACCAGCCTGCCCGCAGCGCTTTATTCAGTTATACGGGACCTTCCAAATAAGCGAGGCCTCTAGCTTTCACCGCCAGTTCCAATTCAAAAACTAGCGCTTCTTGCGCCTGGAAGGCGTTACCCCTTTTTCGTTTTCTCGGTAGCCCTCGCATACTGACCACAGAACTCGGGCGGGGGTTCTGCGCGCCACTTCCGGGTGACGTCCTAGCTTTATCACTGATTCTTTGACAACTTTTAGACATGGTTGGTGTGACTGGGGTATTCATCAGCCGGCCTGTCAACCTGGGCCTGACGCTGGTACTAGAACCATTTTTGCAATTTTTGCAAGGCATGGTTTAAGCCTCGGCAGGGATCGAACTCGCGGTTTTCAGAGGTGCAGACATGAGTCTAACCTCTTAACCACTCGGCTATCCCTGCCTCTTCTGTTAGTTTATCAGTAAATGTGTCGAATACGGAACAAGTGAGCTATTCTGAGTGACTTACAAGTTATGTTACCAGAGTACCGTTTCCCCTAACTCAGCTTCTTGATGCATTTACCGAAGCTTATCAACTCACACGTCTTACGTGATGAGCCGGTCAGCCAATATCGGCAGTAAAACGCGAGGCAAACCTCCAACAGATATCAATTTTGACTCGTTTTGCTTGCTGACCGCTGTTTTAAAGGAAGCGATCACGCTGGCTTCCACGTGGATCGGCGAACTCCGCGTTATCAACCGATAAGGTCGGAGATAGATAGTGGTTGGACGAGCGTAACCTCTATGGAAGATACGATACGATTAAGAAGATACGGCTGCTTGGAATGAGGTGCACTCCACCATGAAAATGCAGTAGTAACGTGCTAGATAGATACGAACCGTATCATATCTAGCACGTTACTACTGCATCCCCTTCCACGTCTGATACGGAGGTGCAACGGCGAACCGGAAGTGGGTTTCGGCGCCTTATCACGCCGTTGATAAGGCGCCACTGCCCCTGAAGCGTCACCTGTCGTCTCATTGGGTAGGACCCCTACCCAATCCACTATGTCACTTTCCTCATCGTCTCCATAGGGATTTCCGTGACCACCTCCATTGATGTCAAGCCGCGCAGCCGAAATGCTTGTTATGCTTCATGATGTATAGGCTATACCGGAAAGAAGTTATGCACACATGCGCTAAAATTGTTGTCATTCGCGCGGCGCGCTAGCGTGTCGAGCCGTCCCACGCGGTTTGCAGTATGCTCACTAGGGGGTCGCACAGCCCAATTATGAAATCTTGCCCAATATGTTCCGTCGTGTAGTTCTTCTTGTCAGCTTCTTTCCTTGCATGAAACATGAAGTCGATCTCGGGATTCCAATGGCTATTTGTAAGCCATCCATCACGAGCCCATGCTCGTCCCTGTATCATGAGCGATTAAAAATGAATTGTAATTAACCCACACTGTAACACTAACCTTCTCTAGAACACGAATATTTGGAAAAGATGCGTTGCGCAGTAATTTACGGCAACATACGGTATAACGCGATAGGCTATCGTAGCCAGTCGAAGCATTCCATAACTGCTCGCATTTCTTAGCATTAGGCAGCTGCTTAGTCATCCACATCTAAGAAAGAAACAGTGAATCATTTTTGAGAAGGAACCAATCTTTGCATTTTCTTTAGCTCGAATAACTTCTAGCCAATTGCGCGGTACCCTTACAGCATGCTCCTTGACGAGTGTTTTGTCGTATCGTTCAGTTGAATCTCGTCTAGTTGCACTCAACCCGTAAAGGACATGGTAACGCACGATTATTTCTTTCGTTTTTTTAATGTTTCTAGCAATCTTAATATACCCGTATATACTCTCAGCAATGTGGAATAACATATCTTCCCAGGACCTGGACGGCTGGATTTTTGACAAACCTACAATAAATTTTACATACATTTTGTCTTAATTTACATAAGTTTACTATTTGATGGGTGGCTTACCCATGGTTCGCACGTCCCGAGACCCCTTCCCCTAAATATAGCCACATCCTTGCTCGGGGTTGTTGTTTCGCATTTTTCGATAATGTCACCTACAGCTTCCATTCATTCTTTGCACCCTAGTTTTAGAGCGGAAAGGCGGGTTACGAACTTGTCGTCAACGGAAATCTCTTCTTTTGGATGATGAGACTCCGGACACCTACTTTAGCCCCGTCTTAACCCTGCTGTTCGCATAAGCCTACATAAACCCTGTGGCGGCGTGCGCCACATGGTGGCGCACGCGAAAAATACACTGGCCGTCCGTTATGGGTTCAAAGGCAACTACGCAATGTCGTGGAGCGATTTGGTGGCACTTGAAAGTGACAATGGATGTGAAGTGCATCACAGTAATGAACAAATAGTAAGAAGCGGTTGACAAATTTAAAAGTAGAAACCTCTCCCCAGTAGCTGCGATGCGAAACAGCATCGATTTGTGGGCTGAGGACTCCATGATGCATCTTTGGGCCTCAGACTTCAACCTTGTAAAGTCGTGCGCCAAACGGGTACATGCTCTGCGCTTGCTTCCACTCTATATTTATCGATAAACAGCTACATTTGATCCAAAAATCCTGTACGTTGCCTTTAACAAACCGGACGACGTAACAGCTAACGTTCTTGGGTTTGCGCACGCGTGGGACTAACTGCGCATTTCGCAGGCGCCCGCCTCACACCACCGCTAATATTGCACTTTAAATACCCGACCACATCCGGATGCACGAAATGTTTAGAATGTATTAAGTGTGTCAGATATTAGAAAGGGGACCCAAACCTGTTTGAAAAATCCGATCAACTGACGACCCATATGTTTTCCGGCGATGAAAGGCAAGTTTCAGTTGATTTGCTGCAGTGAACCTCAAAATTATTTTTGACGCGGTTGCTCCACTAAAAACATATGTCTTGCTATATGTGTGGGTCTGTACTTACTTCTACTGCTCTTTTTTATGACCAAGATTATCAGAATATAAAGGAAACTAGGAATGAACACAATTGGGAAATTCGTAGGGCTTAGAAAACCTTCGCTAAAAAGGAGCATATTCAACCATTCAATGAACCTCGCCGTGTCTAGTCATATTATGGTGCAGTCTATAGAATAGATGCAAAAAATTAGAAAAGAAGTAGCGCATGCGCGAAAAAAATAAATATTTTGTGTGTGCAGCGCATGCGCTGCACACGGTCCCACACGGTGCTCAAGGTGTGATGCGCATGCGCTGCACAATGTCGTCAACGTGTTATAAAATAGCGTCCAGTGCCTCCGGGCGTTTGATTTTCAAAGAATAATCGCTTTCTTGGTCAGCTTTGCTTCGAACCGTAACAAGATAGCAATAGACTTTTATCACATCTAACGTCTCACCGTTGTCGCCTCGTCAGAGCCTCGCAAAAGCAAATTAAATTGCGCAAATCTTCCAAAACACCATCCTCGAGCCTTAGAGCCAGTCCCCTAGACCCAAGGTGGTTACAGAAAAGCATCGCAATCACAGAACACTTCGGACCCACCTTACAGACGACCGGACTTGATGTCGACCACCGCTAATCTGACTCACAGGGGGTGGCTTCAGATGACCTGGCCCCTCGGCATGAAGCCGGAGGCAAACGAAGCCCACAGAGGTCAGAAAATGGCGCGAGTTCGTTAGTTATGGCTAGGCATTCGTCTTTCCTATTCATTTTGGGGGACCTAGCGCTGATAAGAAATGCCTCAAGGGTCTTGCGCGCCGGAGTGAGGGGTTCTCGTGTTTTGGGTTTGCTGTGCAGAAGTCAAATTGCATTCCAACCTAATATTTTGGTTTTCCAGGCTCTGACGAAGGCAAGAAGGCCGAAACGTTAGCCGAATAAAAGTTATTGCCATCTTGGCTACGGTTTCAAGAAAGCTGACGATGAGTACTGCAAACCATGCCAAGATTTACTGAAATTCGAACGTGGATACTTATGAATCGCATTTCTGGTTTTTGTAATTGTGACTATAAGGTGAGGAAGCATCTTTGATGGTGCTTCTCGGATAGGGCGAAGTTTTCGAGGCCGTCCTTGAAAGGGACCCCCTCACGACTGAGGGAAGGCGGGGATTCGTTGTTGAAGTAAAAATTTTTGAAACGTTTTCAAAACTGCACTTGTCTTCCGCACTCGGTGATCGGTGGTGATATCAGAACTTCAAAGAACCATCCTTAATGGAATGAAAACAATTACAAAGGTGAAGAAACCAGCGAAAGCGCAATCAACAAAAATTAAAGGCACGGGTTGGGATTGAATCGGTGTGTTATTTTGCTAGAGAATTAGATATGGAGTATGAAGAGGAGCGTTATTGTTGAAAAGAGGGAGAAATAAACACTATGAAAACACTGTAATTTTTCCTGTGAGTTTGCTTCTGGCACAACGGAGAGATACAGCGCAGCGATTCGAGTTAAAATGCAAGAAAGTTGTACGCAAAGGAGTGCAGTCACCACGCATGCTGCGATTGGTAAGAACGGCAGTGAGCGCAGTGGTTGAGCTAAGGCTTTAGCGGCATACTTCCACTGGCGACAGACCGAGCATACCTGTTCCTGTGGTTGGAAGGGTGTTTTTTTTCTGCTGAGAATAAGGGAAAATTGAAAGAAACCTACGTGAAGGGCTCCATTGTCTCTACCGTGGAAGGAGTTTGGCAGCGAAAACTCGTAATCTGCCCATCCGCGTAGAAACCACTTGGAAAAGACACTTCGTCTCACCAGGTATGACCCTATGATGTGCTGTTTATTTTTCTGGTGTTAAAACCAGCAAGTACAATCGCTAATCTCAATTACTTACCGGCCATAACTTCGTGGTTGAAGAACCTATTGTAGAAAATGATGTCTTTGTTCGGTTCAAGGAACTGCTCCAAATCACTGAAAAGTTTCTAAAAATGGCTTGCTATGAATAAGATGCATGAGCATATCAATAATCTCAATCCGTTTGCTACGACCTTTTTGGAAGAGAAAACGACCCACCATAGGGTCTGCAACGACCATGACCATGATACATGCCAAATTTGAAAGTAGAAAAGGAATGTAGGTAGTGCTCTTCAGAAATCAATTTGCGTCTTTGTCAACACTGACATTTTCGGAAATCTTGTAAATTTACAA